GGTCAGTTACAATATATTGATTGGCTACATGCTCCACCTTTCCATCACAATTCCAAGCCTCTAAAGTTGAGAAGGTTAGGTCTCCGAAGATGGTTATCCGCTCATTAGCGACAAGATTAGCGATGGAGCATAGAGCAAATCATCTCACAAAAAAGTCGCCAATGGTGGCTCTGACGGGTGTTGATAATATATGCACTTAGCAAAAGGAACAAACCCAACCAAGGCAAAGGCTCAATAAACCAAACGGGACGGGGGTGCGCGATAACTTAGTTTTGGAGCAAACAAATCTGTAGGAATAGTTTAACTAATAGCTATGGGAAACAGTTGGGAGTGTGGTTTAGCCCCCAAACGATGAATTAAATTGAATGAATCCTCAAAAAATTAAATTATGACCGACGGGTGTGTGATATCTAAAGTTTGGGGTTTAACTCTGAAGGTAATCAAGACACACATCAACAATAAGATCTGCAGCAGGTCACAAAGGTTGCCTCAGACACGAGTCTCTCCATAGGTGAAAACCCAACCGAATGAGATTAATAAAATACCTTGGCCAGTCGACTCATACGACAGATTGACTCACAAAATGAGCACATGATCAATCAAATCACAACTTATCCAAATTAAGCAAAGAAACTAAAAAGTATCCCTCATGTATTTGAAAGAAGTTACGAATGACTTTCGCTAAGAAAATGAGTAAAGAATTGCAAATTCTTCATATAACAGGACCCTAGCAGGTGGCCGATCCTTCTTCGCCGCCCATGCCATCCTCTTCGGAATTTTTTTCTGACTTTCTCAAAATTAGGGTAGAGAACTCTTCTGAGTTGGAGAACTTGGGGTTGATCAAACCATGGTGGATGAATCGTTAGATAACATAATTCACCCCACGCCTAAGGTGACCTGCTAGGTCGTCACCTTCAGTGTGACAAGATATCCCTGCCTTCCTGCAGTGTTGACTGAGGAGAGATGATGATCGCCGCTCCCTTCAGCCCCATTTTTTGATCTCCTCGGCACCTTCAGTGAAAAAGACTTGCTGAACTTTATGAATCATGTTCACATCATGCTCAAGCACCAAAGTTTCCTAATAAAATTTTTTGGAGACTGTCCCTCAGCACCATCTGACGAGTCGACTAGGTTGACCAAAATAGGTTCGGGATTCGAACATTTTTCTTTCTTCACACTTTTCTTCTTATTTACTGGGGTCGGTATCCGGAAGCCCGCATTTGCCAGAGTTTTGGAATCCACACCCGACTTGTACCATTAACCATGATGTACCTCAGGTATCTGGAAAAACTGGCAACAAAGGATGTAACATCAAGTTTATGATTCTATTTATAGAGCACACTAGGCACGAAACCCAAAGGGAAGTCAATTGTTCAATCAATTCATAATTTTGATTCTATTGATTATTTAATAATTTTTCAATTCTTATCGTAGTTGTCACTCTCAATGAGCAAGAAAACTAAAAGAACTAATATGTACATATCAAAATTGTCGGCACAAGTCTTAAATAACTCAAATGGCTAAAGACAATGGCTCAACGATCGAGACATTAAATTCAAGAGGCCTAATCTGAACCGGTCATATGAAAGAACAACAGACTGATCAAGTCCACCGACATCCATTGTCAACAAATTGGGTCAGCGGGCCTATTCACAGTCCCAACCGTCGAAGCTCCCTAAAAACTGAGTGAACGCAAGCAGCCGATCAACTACTTATACCTTGGTAGAAATGACTGCCACGAAGCCCATCATTTTTGCTGACCGAACCAAAACAGGTCGACTAGCTGGCTACTGTCGTATTCAAATTTAAATTGTAATAGAAATTTAGTATTAAATCAGCACATTGATTGCATTAAGAGTGATTTTTATAACATTTTTCTTCTTTCTATAATTGTACAAGTACGCCCCTATAAATATGGTGCAAAAAGACGAATAAAGGGACCCCGGTCTGTGGAATTTTTCTCAGTCTCTCTACTGAGAATTTCCTAACCATTTTCTTCTCTCTCTCTCTTCCTCCTTCTCCACTCTGCTCTAACTCCTGAAGCGTGTATTTCTGAAGGACATTTCAGGATTCAACAATATCAAACACATAAAGTTCAATTTTTATTTATATATCAACCTAGTTATGCATAAAAACGTCTTTTTTTCTTAACTCAAAATAGATAAATCACTAACGTGACGTTAAACATTTATATGGTATAATTGTAAAAAGTCAACATCCCTTTTCATAAATTATTTTTTCATGTTTAATTAACTCCATGCAGAATAAAATAAAAATACCGTAAATATAAGTGTTATTATACAACTCACCCTGTTATATATCATCTAATTTTAATAAATTTATAAATTTAATTGTTGTAAAAAAAAAAAAAAACTAAGGTCTACGCCCTCACATCAGCTGACCACCAACTAAAACCTATACGGT